ATCGGAATGATCGCTTCGCTGTCCAAACCCCATGTCGAGTCTCAGGCATTGCTCATAGGTAAACACCAGCAGGTCAGGCACAGCATCGGGCGTTGTACTCGGTACCATTCGCAAGCTGGGTCAAGTTTGTTGGGGCGAAATGCAGAGTAGACTTCAATGGCCCCCAGTCTCCTTGTGCCAGGGCATGCTGCAACCCAAAGTCGGGCATCAAGGGCAGTCGTTTTCGCTTCTTCATCCCCCCCAGTCGCACTCGTAGGCAAGGCAGAGACGGATGCAGGAGGCCATTGAAAATCTTTAGTGGGCATGGTGGTCTGATGCCTGGTGCTGCCACCGTCCAACCCACTAAACTCTCTTTTTAAAAATAGACGGCGAAGATTCAGAGGCCCTTGTTCCTTGACCCACCAGGCCAACAGATCGACAGTCCCCCTAGGGAGAGAGAGAGCCACAGTGTGTCGTCGCACCTGTCCCTTACTCTCCAGACTGTCAGGGCTCCATGGGAAACCCAAGAACTCTGATACCAGGAGAGGAATGGTCAAGTCATCTTTATCTGCTTTCTCCAACCCATCTCTTGAATTTCCCAAGCGAGTAGTCAGAGGGAGAGAATGCGACAAAGCGTCGTTCGGGGTTAGACCTTGGCCTCTTCCGCCCACAAGTCAATGGTCGATCTCTGTCTTTCTCCTCTTCTGAGCTTTTGGTGTGAAGCCCCAAGTTGGGGATGGATTGGCACCCAGCGATTGCGACTGCTGAGCTGCCAGCTTTCTTCACTTCACATTGGCTAGTGTCTCTGCAGAATGAGGCGGTCCTGACTGCAAAGATCGACAAGGAGCTGGCATTCATACTCGTAACCCCTGGCTTGGCCACTCTGCCGAACTCCGAGGCCTGCAGAAGGTGTGTCTAGTACCAGGACTGACTGTGTACGCGGTGGTAAGGGGGTCGACTTCCCACGCTGGGCCTGAGTATTTGATCGTCGGTAGAAAAGTCTACCGACCTGCTGTTCAAAACCCACTTGCAATCTCGGGGGAGCTGCCATTGATGCCAAATGTTTTCACTTTGGCATGACTAGAGGTCTGCAATTGCCATGATGTGACCCATGCGAAATCAACCACCATGGCGACCACCGGGTGAAGGGGAGAACGGCTTTGCGGAACTTTATGGTGCCAGCTGGCGGTGACCTCTTCTTTGGTGCCGCCATAGGCTTGAAAAACCACATGGCAAGCTGCAAACAGCGCACAAACCCATTCGTTCTTTGCTCCGAGGAAATCAAAATTCCCGACGGCTCTTTGAGAGACACTCGCTCATGCTTCATCTGGATCGGAAAAAGACCACGCTTGGAGTTGCCTTCGATTGGTGCATTGCGTCTTGGACCAGCATGAAGCCCCGAAAATCTTACTCTGTCCTCTCGGAGACTGGACAAAGTCTGTATGCTTCTCTCAGGCATCCAACTTCAGATTTCTTCCTGCTACGTACTCCAAACTCCCACTTAGGCATGATCAGAGAGGAGGCAAAGGTATCCATTGACGATACCCTGGACTTGATGCATTCCAGGCTGTTTTCCCCAGAGAGCTCTGCTCTTTCGACTGACTTTGAACTCGCTCTTCTGGCGCCCGTGGAGTCATCATACCTGTAGCTCCGATGGAGGGGGTCGGATGCTGATTTTTACCCCTAGAACGCTGTTTCACCCGAGAGCTAGGGACCACCAGGTGCTCGGTCCACGTGGAGAGATGGTCGCCACCTAGACAAGTGTTGTAGAATAATACGGGAGGAACGGGCGATAGACTTTTGGTTGAGAAAAGTGTGCCGCTAGCCTTCTGGTTGCAGAATGTACAGGGATCTCCAATGTGGACTGTGAGACGCAGTAGCTTCGACGCTACTTAGCCATGCCATCAACTGGGAGTCGACCCGGACCATGTTTCCGTTAAGTCTAGACTCCCTGGACAAGGTCCCTGAGAAGATCTCTTTCCAAAGGAGGATCTGGAGGAGAGCCGCATCCATCAGACACAGCCACATGATGGGTTTGTATTCGTATGTCTGGATTCTTTTTCCCACGGTCGCTCGCTGCTGTATCCTCGTCGTTAGCCCCTCAGTAAAGATCGCTTGCTGGATACGAGCACAGAGGTTGGCCTTTTGTTCCGTACCCCTCCGCATTCACATGGAGGCCGAGCTAAACTGAAATTATGCCGCTATGGGCAATGATAGTCGTAGGGGCTAAGCGAGTAAGTCAGTGCAAGGAAGGAGACTCGCCACCTCTGCTCTGCACCTAAAACCACTTACGAGGCTCCTTTAGACGCTGCCGTCGTCCCTCTCTCACTAACCTCGTTGCGTCTATCTCGGAGCAGCACGAGGCTTGGACCGAGTTGGATACTTCGAGTGGGTCTAGGGTCAACTCCACGCAATCGCACCCACGCCACTTTCTCGGTTAAGACGTGCTGACAAAATGCATCCATGGCCTTGGTGGTGACGTGTGTGGCATTCGCAGTGGGCGGATCTTGAAGCGCCTGACAGGCACCGAGGACAACAAACAGGGTACATGCAAAACGTGGCAGAATTGTCCCAGGCTGTCCTGCATCTTTTAGCCGCCCACCCCCCGCGTAGCTTCGCAAAATCCTTCGCCAAAGACCGAAGAGACGTTGGGAGCAGGTTGTAACCTATCTTGTCCCTGTTAGACTGAGCCTCAGCACATGATTGTCGGCTTTGGGCCTAACTCACCAGGCAGGGGTGCCACCTGGCACGCGCCCAATGGGGCCCTTCTCTGGATCGAGTCGGGGGTGGGCAGATGTTGACTAGACTTCGGTCAAGAGTCCCTCAGCCTCCACAGTTACCATCCAACGCATGGATAGCCGCTCTTCAGATCATGAACTTTGAGTGGAGGATGCGTCTCTCCTCAACCGAGCCATCCGCACCTTACCAGGAAGAGTCCAACTTCAACCCCCATCGAAGCCACACAGCGGGCGTTCAGTGGCGCTAGCTCTGAGGATCAACTCCAGTGCTGTCGGGGCTAAGTACTGTTAACCCCAGTTCAACGGGCTCCACTGGAGAGTCTCCCAAGGCGCTCTCGCTCGAGACCGAAGCGACATTTGTGAAGATCAATGCATGTATTCATCCGTCAGAGCCGGTTTTCGTGCTGTGAAAATGTAAGAGGGCCTAGCTGCTAAGGTCTACCCCATTGACTGGGTTCTCGTGCACATTGTCGGGCCTTGTCGTGATCCCCCTTTTGATGGCTTTCCGCGAGGCAAACAGCAGCTGATCTTTCCACTTCAGAATGATACCACCGTCATTGAACAGCAGGAATGGACCAGGAGTCTGGTCGCTGAGGCCCGTGGTCCACAACCCCTCCTCATCAAGATTGGTCCTTCGAACCAGTCGGTTGGGATTGCGGCGCCTGCGCCTCGTATTCGTCGTTTTCTTAGAATCTTCTGTCGGGGAGACGTTCCCAATTCTTCATTGGTGGAGACAAGTTGGTGCAGATCGTTCCTTGGACACCGAACTTCCTTGTAGCTTGTCTCGGCACACCAGGCAGGGAGGTACAAGTCGTGGAGGCTAAATGACGGGCAGCATCACCCACCAGCTTGGATCAGACAGCCTGCCTTTTTTTTACCTTTTCAAAGTCGATCCGAGCAACTCAAAGATGGTCAGCCGCACCACCTGGGACCACATCGTAAATCTCCAGATCTCCAGTACCTCGTTTTACAGGCGTTCTGGACTTTTGGAATGCAGATATAGTTGAACTGTGGCTTTTCTCCGAAGTGGATCTTGTAGTAGCTGCTGGCCATCCAGCCATAGTCTCCAAACGGGCAATCCAAGGTCAGGCATGATTGTTTGGGGGTCCTGTTCTCGCATCTCACCGGGGCGAGCCCCGTCTCCCCCTTGGCTCATTGGGGAGCATCTTGTGCGATCAGCCATCCAACTTCCCTGTGCAAGAACCTCGTCAACGCCTAAGAAAGTCAATGGCGCGAGCGATTGGACTCGTATCTGTCCTCCGCAGGTGGACTATTTGACTCCTCTCGTGGCTTTAATCGCTAGTACGGAGGCGCTGGGGTCCAAACTCGTCGAATGCCAGATTCCAAACCATACCTTTTCCGCATGCATAGAAGTGTCATATACCACACTGTCATGCATGTTGAGGGCGCTTGTTTCCTGGTTTGATTCGCCTGTTGCGGATATCCAAGTCTTTTCGCGGTGGCGGGCCTTTTCTTCTGACCATATTTTACGATCCACGAAGAGGGAACCCAGTCCTCGTGAACTGCAGTTCCCAATTCTTACCACTGGTCAGTCTGTGTTCTCGACTTCTAGGGGACATCCCGGTCTATCCCCATCAAGATCCTTTTGTTGAAATTCTGATTGTTCTTTTCATTTCCTCTCCAACTTCTGCTCCGGACGAAGGAACGGCTGACAATCCTCTCCACTCCCTACTCGATTCAACCGATTGTCTTCAACTGTGGTCACTTGATGTGATTGCTTTCTGTTGATCCTCATAACAGAGTCTCGAGGATTGCCCCGAAGTCAGCTCCTCAAACAGTATTCCGTTTGCGTTAGCATCCGGTGCGACGTGGGAAGATTATTCCACACCTCTATTCTCCGATGTGTGGTAGATAGTACTGCCAGCCATATTTGTGCGACCCAAGTGATCCAAAATCCCACGAAGCTTTCATAGAGCTCTGTGACGCGCAATTGGGGCTGCTCCCCTTTGGCTGATCCCTGACTGGGCCGCAGCCAGAATCGGTCTGGAAACCCATCAGTCGGTTGCGACAAATCAATTCTGTGATGTCGACACAAGATCCACGGTACCAGTGATGTTGCCCGTCTGCCTCGCTCAACATCTCGACGAGTACAGTGGTGGAAGACGAAAAACCAGCAGGAATCACTACCTAGTCTTTGTCTCGCGGAGGTAGTGGACGTCTGTCAGCGAAGAGATGCAAGAGGGAGGAAATAATTTTGGAGTCTATGCAGAAGGAAGTGGTCCTGCGCAAGACCAGTTCGGTCCTGAGGTTGAGCAGTTCAACATGCCTGGTTTGATCCAATCCGGTAACTCGTCGCCCACTGTTCGCGACATGGCGGTAGAAGGGCCACCCTCATCTCCTGCCGATAAAAAGAGAAACAAACTGGGGTACCATCGCACTGCCGTCGCATGTGGTCAGTCTCTGTACCTGGCTTCCTTGTGCGCGACATTTCTGACCAAGTACCAGTCCATTGCCGACGGCGCAAGATTCGCTGTATGCCTGATTACAATGACCCAACAGGCCGATGCCAGAATTGCATTCGCCTCAAAAAGGAGTGCGTTTTCTTGCCGATCGACCCGCAAAATCCGCCCACAGCGAAACGACCTCGCTCGGGGCAAAAGACAGCGGATGGCTTCGTGAACGAGGGTGAAGCTTCAGTCTCGTCATCCTCTCCAGGTGGCATCCTAAGAAGCAGCTCCATGGAACAAATAAGTTATGGGAGGGGATCCTTGGACACTCCTCCCATGTCCAATGAAAGTCCTGGGTTCCCAACTTTTCAGCCGGCATCCAGATCCGTCTCTGTCCATGGTAGGAGTTTGATCGTGTCTTTGTCTTCGAGGGCTGACGCATTTCAGGCTTTGATTTTGGGCATGGGTACGACCCTAGTCAACACCAGCGTCAACATCAGCAAGTCCTCGTCCCGTCTCCGTACTCACAGGGGAACTTTGATGTGGATTCGATGAACCCTTCGTTCTATCAGCAGCAGCAGCAGCAACAGCACTCATATGGACATCCAGTTGGCACGCCATATTCGTCAACGTTTGCTCCGAGTTCCTTACCTTCCGTGATGACAACGATGTCTCAGGAACAGACTCGTGCGTACCAGACGTCTGTCCCCAATGGTGGCTATGGATGGACAAACCCTCCCGCGAGATCGATGTCATCTGACCAAACCGACGAGTTGTCATCTGGTTTCCCCACCCCATACCGAACAAACACATATCCGTCCTTCGACAGAGGAATGACGGGCCAGATGCAGCATCTACCTCCAACCAGTTCGAGCATGGTGCCAATGGGCATAGAGAGTCGGCACACTTCGACGACTCCGAATTTTCAGGACCACACGTCATACCAGCCTATGCAAACCAATATGCACTCGGTATGGATGGGGGGAAATGTTGGTGCAATGCAACAATTGCCCGGAACTTCCGACGGCTTTCACTCCCAAGGCTGGTATCAACCTCATCCAGGGGTGGCAAACATACATCAAGAGGAGGAACAAGCTCGTATACTACCGTCGCAGAATCACAGTGCGCAAGAAGGTCAGCGTAAGCCTGGCTGAAGCCGACTAAATACATTAACCAAATTACCTTTTCGTTCAGTTGCGACAAAGCTCTCTCAAACCCCTATCGCCCACAGCAGACTGAGTCCGAGTTCTAATGCCATTGGCAAGCTCGACTCAGACCAGTTGGATTTGAGAAGATCCAGGGTTGACCTCTCCTCTGGATGTGGACGGCCGTAGCGGCCGGAGGTGTGAATCATGTTTCCGAGAGGGTGTTTGGGCTCGTCCGAGCACCAATTTAAATGGTAATGGTTCATGCACAAAGTTTCTGAAGCTTTCAACTCGCACAACCTTTGCAACGAAGCGGCTTCGGCCTTTCAGGTTCCACTAGGTATCTTGCGGTCCAGAAACCCCAGAATAGCTAGAGGGCAAAGGTGCGTGATGCTCCATTGGAGTCTGGCAGGCCTCAGAGACTTGAAGGGGTCGGACAGACCATCCTGAGATCCAAGACTGGCGGCGGTCTGTCTGGGGAGGTCTCGAAACCGGGCGCTTTGCTTGCCTTCGCTGTCGTCAGTCTCGAAATGATAGGACTATTGGCGCAGTCTCGATCCTCAAAACTATAGCAGTCGACTCTCGAAATCTCATTCTTTGGCTGCCATCCTTGACAATATGTCGGAGCTTCTTGACCTTCTCTTCCACGACAATCGACACTTTATACGCAAGTCTCCCAAATAAGATCAAACCCAGATTGCCGAGCCGTGCGACCGAAACGAATGCCTTTCAAGTTCTGGAAGACCCCGGTGTGAGATTTCTGTCAGTCATCGGCAGGACATGTCTCACGGGTTGCACGGAGAGATGTCAGTCTATTCCATCTGCCGATCTCACCGAGCAAGTTTGGTGCTATATGGGGGCTGGTAAGTTTAGAATATCCCCTCAATCCGTTGAAACCATCCTGAAATGACTGGTATCGTGCAAGTCGGTCTTCCATGGCACAGCACTTCACCCTGGGTGAAGTACCGCAAATCGGCAAGGAAGAAGTGTCAATGTGACCGCCGTCACTGCTTGGAGTGTCGCCCCTGGAGCACAACGGGTCATTGCACCAGCCGTCGAAAGATCGATATGCCAAAGATATGCTGTCCCAGTCTAAAAATGTCTTGGACAAGATCGAATTCCCCCTCGCCTGGAAGTCGAGCCACCGGCACCATCACGACGGTCAAACCTTCACTCGGGGCACGGCCTCGACTACCATGCATGGTGCATGCGGGTGCGGGTGCGGGTGCGGCTCATGGTTTGCAGATACAGTGCAGATGGACTGCCTCCTTAAGGGGGGATTTCCTGAGCAACCGCGGAACGAACTGAGTTGAGAACAAAAGCGGATTTTGTGGTTACGCAGGCAACTTCATAGTCAGGAGGTGGCCCTGTGTCCATTTGAAGATTAAGGGAGGACTGGGAGGGACTGCGCCAGCCAGGTGGCTTGATGGTCTTGACACAGAAAAGAAATTTGAAGAGAGTCGGATTCGTTGTGTTGCTTGTAGGCAGCGCAGACGGGTTTGCCTCATGCGGAAAAGGGAAAAGAAAAACAAATGGGAAATGTTGGTCACGTGCCACCCAAATCCCTTCAGGTTCCGTCGTGTTCGTCCTTTGTCCTCTCAGTTCATCAACACACCGACACTTTCGTTCAAGTACTTCGTGCTCGGAGCTTTGCATGAATCCAGCAACACCACTCAAAACAGCTTCCTCTCAACCTATCGAGACTTCCAAAGAACCTGCCACGGATTATCGTCCCAGGACCGAACGGCTATTGTGGCAATTCCTGAGGGCACCTCGACAGGAAAAAGACTGGGCCAGTGGATATCAGACAATGAGCTTGGAGGGAGAACAAAAGGGCTGTTTTCACGCTATGCTCAGCCAAAAACGGGTAGCCCATGGCCATGCCGAGGAATGCTTGACACACCCTAACAGGCTTGATTGAGGGCCACCAGGAGTCGGCCATGGACCAGAGACAATGGACCATTGTGGCGATTGGAAGTCACTGATTTACAAAGGCAAGCAGCTCCAGATGCGGTGAATCGTCTGATTCCTGTGCTCCACACCAGAGCTGCCTGTTGGTGGTCCTTTCATTCGTAATTCATTGTTTAGGCAGAGGCAGTGATATCGAGGCTTGAGCTCTATGGGACCTTTATCTCAACTGCCAACAGTCGAGTCTACACTTTGGTGGTTGTTTTTTTTTTTTTTTTGAGAGAAAAATTCTTTCCATTAACCACATACGTTCAAATAGGAAAGGAACCGTTCCTCCCGTCTCACTCCCCACAAAGGGCTGTACTTCCTCGTCCATTGCTCGATCTCGTCCCGTCAGCGGCATCAAGGTGAGGCCACCGCCACAATGGCACAGCTTTCGCAATCAATACGGAATAAATCAACGCAGGACCGACTATCATCTCTTCCTGGTGAGCTCCAGCTCCAGATCGCAGAGCATCTCAACTACTCTGATCTCGTTCGTGTTCGGCGAGCATCAAAGGCCTTGAGACACTGCTTCGCTGACCCTTCGATTCGATTGATTGACGAGATGGCAAAGGCTTGGGCTGAGATCGAACGCAAATTTCAGGACTGCTATTTCTCCGTGGATACGAATATGTCGTTGTTGGGACTTGATGTCAATCTTACATCCACTGTACAAAAAGTGGAGGAGTACGCCATGGAACGTGGCTTCTCTAACACGTTAGTCCGATGGCTTGTGCGTCCCAGTCTCTACCACTTCTCTTGTTCCAAGTGCCATACCATGAAACCTTGGACGGATTTCCCAAGCGAAAGCCTGCGTCAAACATTTCCTTTCAGACCGCGCGCAAATCCTTTGATGACCCAACAAGATAACAAGATGATTCTAGAATCCATGACTTGTGGAGCTTGTACCGCAGCAGAACAACCTCGCGCATACCATAGTCTTGGTCTCCGCAACGGAACGAGTTCAATTATTAAATGTCACAGGTGTCTCACAATCAAGCAGGCTCCCCACGACCTGTCGTTCAGGCTCCGTTTCTCCGGATTCTGCCAACAGTGCTTTGGGGAGGTCCATCAGGACTGGTTCGAGTACAAGAGCTTTCTACAGGACTGTCTAGCCAGAATGGAAGCCTACGAGAAGAGCGTGGACATGGAGTCGTTGTGGTGGAGAGGATTTCCCGAGTGCCCTGTGCCGGCCGAGTTTGTAGCCGCCTTGAACAGCCCGAATCATCGACCTTTGCCCAGCTGCAGAGAGATCGTCCTCGCTCAACTCTCTCTCAGAGCGGCCAACCTCCGACTTCGTGAGCTCTCGCTGGGACAAGATGCTCCAGACCTCTCTGTTCCAGAATCAACAGAGCCGTAATAACGATGTCCTGACAGGGGAAGTCGCACAAAACACTAGACCTTGGAGTTGTACACACGACACCCCAGCTTTCTGGTTCACAGAACCTTGGTGCGAAAGGTAGGTCTCCAAAAGGAGCACATAGAGACAAGTACGAGTACGAGTGCCTGTCATGGCATGGCATGGCATGGCAGGTACTTCCTCTCAGGGTTTCCACATCATTTACTACTCTCATTTCAAGTCTGAGAGTGATGTCCAATGTCATGCATTTCCCATCATTAAATTTAATTTCTCTCCCTCTCGCTCCTGTGTGGGTGGGTTGATATACTTCTACCAGGTATATTCCTACCTGTATGGTTCTATATTCTCATGCTCGTGAATATATATCACAGATCTTTGTTCCTCGCACATTTCAACCCGTGCGGATGATCTCCTCCCTCTCTTTGGTAAAAGTGTCGTCTGCCCTACTATTTTTAACGAGGTGCCACATTTAGAAGGCAGCCATGGTAGAGAATATTAGACACACACAAAGGTGATGAAGAGGTGGAGATGTGGGGAGAGAGAGAAAGAGGAAGTCAAAAGATCCAAAGTGTTCACATTCCCGTCTCCATCCAAGGCCGGATGAGACTCTTGCCAATGTTAGCCAGCCCTAAGCCCATACTCCCCCAAAACTCCCTGCCAGGGTATCACAGTGCGATGCAGAAAACAAACAATACACAATATCCGTCCCAAATCCCGGTTCCGTCATGGTTCCGTGATGTCTCGGTACAATGTAAACACTGCCACGCCATAAGAATGATAACGCCCTATGTTCAGCGGAACCTATGACAAGCCGACAGCAGCCTTGCACGACTGGCAGAGATGAGAACCCGTCGACTGGACAGGCACCTCGGTGTGGTTGATGGCCCAGCAGCGCAGACACCGAGTGGCTCGGCTGCCGGGCAGTGTGAATGCAGGATGCTGCACCGGAAGCTGTGACGAGCTTGGCTGGTGGTCGGCGGTGGCGGCGGCCTGCTGCTCAGTGTCGAGCGAGTGCTCTTGGTCCATGGATAGGCACGCCGAACAAATACCGGCCTCCTTTGATCCAGCCTCGACTCTCCCCAGGGAGTTGCACCACCTGCAGACGACCCAGGTACGTCTCCCGTCCTTGATCACGCTGCCTTTGTCCCAGATCCCCTTCTTGACGCCACACGCCTTGCAGAACCGTCGACCGGCTTCGCCGTGCCCGAGACTCCTCCTCCCCGTGACCTGTCCCTTCACGAAGCACTCTCGTGGCAGACACTTTAGGCAGGCGTAGCAGTTCAACCGCTCCGCTCTCATTATGCGGTTGCGGTGAATGTTGTTGAGCGAGTTCATTGGCGCGTTGGTGCCGGCGATGCCCGGGCTTTGTGGAGGCGGAGCTGCCTGGACGGTCTGGGGAAACACGCTCGCCCAACGACGTTGGTTCGTATACGCCACTTGCCGACGTTGGTATTCGGCGTGTTCTTCGGCGACGAGTCTGACTCGGAGAGCCTGTCGAATCTCTACCATCCGGGCCAGGGGCACGAGTGTCGCTGCCGAGCGACATGTCTGGCGGAAGGTAAGGAGGGACTCGTAGTCCAGGCCAGACATCAGGTCGTCAAACATGTCCACTGGCAAGTCGAAAATGCCTGCGTAGCTCGTCATGCTGGAGACTGGCTTCTGTTCAAGGGACCTTGAGGCTGGTTTCTCGCCCAGGGGTTTCTAAGTCA